TGCAGAAGCCTGGCAACATTTTGAACCTTTTCAAAATGTAAATACTGCATGTTAAGCATAGGAAAGAAAATTAATGTGCTGCATTTGCAAATTTATTTCCAAGTCAAAAATGCAAAGGAGGAGGAGGACTCTTGTAGCAGAACTGATATCCTACATTTACAGGGTATATTAAGACATTTGCAATGGTCTTCACACAAAAGAAAAGTACTTTAGAAGTGGATTAATTAGTTTCTCTGATAATCTTAGCTTTTGAATTTCCTTTCATTTCATTTTAAATTTATGACCCCAGTATGACATTAGTCCAGTTTATTGCATCTCGCAGGTGGCATTCATGTGTTGCTACTTTATGTGCAATACATTGTGGGCAATGAGTTACAGTTTTTTGTTAAAAATTTCCAGAGCCATGCAAGTACTTCTTAATTAGACTTGCAAATAAGTAATGCCTTTCTTCAGGGTGAGGGGAAATAGTTAAAACATTACAGAAATTTTTGTGCCTCTTTCTTTTAGTTAATAGTGGGGAGAGTTGGCAATAAAGTTTGCCTTTTGAAACTTTTGCCATATTTTAGTTAGTTCTGATTTACATATGAAGTCATCCTCTGACAATTCCAAACAAATGTCTTTTCAAACAAACTTACTTTTTTGTCTGTGTGCCTGTGACTCCAAAAGGCTTGAACAGATTTATGTTGCTTTCTGCCATTCCTACTAGTAGAAAGTTGTAATTGCAATGTCATTTTTGATATCTTGAATAGCTCAATGATAGATTTTAATAATTTAACAATTACACATTAATTAAATATTTTAGTGGTATAACATTACCCACAAATCACATTCTCTCCAAAAACAATTGCCCAGAAAAAATAATACATTTGAGTCAATCTTATCAACAGTGTTAACGCATGAAGAAGAAAAAGAATGTGTGAAGTGAAACAATGTTAGGGTAAAATCTTTACATTATTTCTCTGACACACAAAAATTTGAAGCAAAGTCCATTTCCCATAAGCATGTTTTTAGACCCAAACTGACCCTGTATTTAGTTCCAGAAGAGGTCAAAATTCTTGCCATTTATTCCCATGGTAAATGTCCAATTCATATTAAATATACAAATTTTTTAAAGATTTCAAGTGATTTCACTTGGCTTATAAGTAAAGATCTTGCATTCTTCATAATTTTTGATACTAAAATATTATACTTAGGAGTATTCAATTATGCCAAAAAGTCACTTACTTGATATGCCTTAAATACCGTAACGCAATTAAAGGAAAGTGCAGATTGTAAATCATCTTAAATAACACTGACACAATGTGCGTGTAACTTACAATATAACTAACTAAATTTTCATGTAACAGATAACATCTGGGAGAAATGTGTATTGGTAAGTTATGCAAAACTAATTTTCTAGTGACCACATCTGTAGATGGTCTTTATTGTATGTTCACTTAACAGTCCATTATTCTGTGTAGAGATCTATTCTCTTCTTTATTAGAGCTTTTAATGTACTCACCTTCAGTTCAAATGGTCTACTCATTATCAGAAAAAAATATAAATGGCATTCACATGGAACAACATGATTGCTTTTATTATATCCATTTGTGTGCAAACATTCAAAAATGGCAAGAGAAGCATATTTACTGCTTTACATTCAGAGTAATATTTAGAGGGTATTTGAAAGTCAAGCAAAACCAATCATTTGGCCAAATGGATGTATGTGTATAATCAGAAACTCCTGATATTTAATCTCAGCATTAGACCTGAGGCAAGTCACTTAATGTGCTTCCTTTTGTTTCCTGATATTATGGGTGCTATTCTCATACGGAAATAGAAGTTTGCTAAGTAAACCCTACAATAGAAGTGTTCTTTTAATAAACTTACTTGATCTTTTTCCTGTTTTTATTTTTTCAGATTTAAGAGGTAACATATTAAACTTTTGAGGAAAAAAATATGAGACAATTCTAACTCTACAGGAATGTATAAAAATAGTTATAAAACTAGCTTTATTTAATTTGCCTCAACTATTCATAGAATTGAGGAAATTATAACGTTCTTTCAGAAAATCTAACTTAATAAAGCTGACCATGTCTTTCTGTTTTAAATAGATTTTATTACAGAACCAGTGATGTTGTAAAACATGAGGTTTTGTTAAAAAAATACAAAGGCCTAATTGTATTTTTTTTAAAGAAAGTATTGCATCAGACGGTTTCATTTAAGCATATTTGCTGGCTCTGTGTTCTCACCACAATTATTGATTCTAATTTTCCTTAAACTTGTTTTTCAAAAAGGGCTACTCATTTTTAATAGGAAAAAAAATCACTGTGATGCTTCTGGGCATTTATGTTTATTTCAAACTATATATTGGAAAGTGGACCTTCTTATTATTAATGAAAACTTTATTTTTATCTCCCCTTAAAACTGTGGCATTTCTTTTCCTTCTAGTAACTCACTAATATAAAGAAATGCAATTCTGTATAAAAGTGAAAAACATAGCTATGGTTCAGTTCATTAATAGTACACAAACTGCCTGAAGAAAAGAAATACCCCTTCTTTTTGTGCACAAATTAAATCAAGTTATTAGTTATATGAGCTACCCTCACAAAAAAAGAAGGAACAAAAGCCAGACTTTCAGCCTAAACTTCAATTTACTGCAATAAATGGGAAATTCACTGTACTAAAACAAATGATAATGTGAACACATAAAATTCCAAGTTTTCAAATATGTATATTTACCCAGTAGATACACACACACACACACACACACACACACACGCACATTGTAGTGTGCCAAAGACCAGGAAATTAGGTAGTTGTGAGCAATTCATATAAAGGAATGCAGGCCACAGAGGTGTGAGGGATGAAATGAGAGATTGGAACACAAATGTCTGTGTATGATCTGATGGGGAAAGGGCATGAGAGGCGGGTGGTAGAATCTGTTATTACCAAAACGGAGAGGCCATCTATTGAGAACTGCGCTAGGGGGTGAGGACAAATTAGCAGAAAGGTCCATCCTGTGTATAGAAAAGCGTAGCAGTGACACAGATACAGTGGCCACACACAAGGTAAAATTCTGCTTCATTAAAAGAAAACACTTTTACCTTGCAAATCAACACACGTGTGTTTTCTCAGTGCCTGAAACAAGTTCAGTAAAGTCCAATTCTTTGTTCCTTTCAAACTCTCATTCACACCCCCTCCCCCTCAAACCTTGTTTTTCACCAAATATTAAAGTCTATACCACCAAGTAAATATCTCCTCATTTTCCCTTCTCTCTGACTCTCATAAGCAGCTTCTTTATTTTACCTAAAATACATTTGGCTGGCTGCTTTTCCAGCTGCAGCAAAGGAAGACCAATAGAAGATGAGGGAGGATACAATTCAAGAACGGTAGAACAATGTACAAACAGACGCAAATACTTGTGCAGCCCACTTTTTAAAAAGTGGCTCCTGCACGTACTGATCGAAAAGAACTGTTCTAACATGTTTTTCTTAGTGTTCTGGTCTGACCAACATTTAGTTAACTTAAAATAAACAATCTCGAATGATGTCATCTAACAGAATAAAAGTCAGTGCTTAACGAGGTCAATAATTTCCAAGTATGGTAACTTGATGATATATTACAATTTACTGAAAACTTCACAAAGCAAGTGACCACACCAAGGTTTAACTCCTACAGTAGGGAATCCTTTGACTTTAGGCCATTTAGCCTCTTGGTTTCCAAGTCCCTTTGCCTTTGAATTTAGGACACTTCATAGCTTCTATATATTTACACTTGGAAATTTCTTGTAAAATTAAAATCAGTAACACAAATTTAATCCAAAATACATACACACTGGTCAGACGAAGAAAAAACTTAGCTTCTACTGTATTTCAAAACGTATCTCAATCAAAAAAATGTTAATATGTAAATAATGAAATGTAACATGGAAGCTTGTGTGAAATACATGGAGAAGTTATAAACCATGAATGACAATTTCATGATTTTTCTCTATGCTTCATAAGATGGTCATTTTTTAAATGAATTTATGCATTTCTAGAGTTTAGTCTCCAAACTTGTAAGCACAGGATCTGACTTTCTCAGAAAATGGTGAGCAACTTCATCTCTGAGCTGCAATGGTAAGCTCATGAGAATCTGCTGTACAAACGGGAACCATTTATTGATTTATGGTGAGGAATGTAAAAGGCACAAAAGCCAGGACACTCAAGTGGTCATGTCTTTACAGATCAATTGAGATGGGAAATTAAATTATGGTCAAAATGTTGCTTGTTAACCATGGAATTAGAATAAGAGGAACTAATTAAATGATTCAGATGTTTAATGCTATTAGTACTCTCATCTCTTCTTTCTTTCCCTCAAATTATGGTCTGATGGGCACTGCCAAAGTTGGCTTCACTGTCTTTCTTCTTCACTTCCAATTTTGACTATCACCCTCCCTCTGACTGATGCCCTCTTGCTAAAGAGTTGTCAGTTGGTCATGGTGAAGTCTTTCTGTGCCCTCTGTGCTTTCAGTAATTGATCTGATCTACAGTGTACCGGCTGTACATAATAATCTTTAGAGCTTTGTCCTCATCACTAAGTTCTTGATGGCCACTTTATTACTGCCCACAATAAGAGCTGCATTCTGGTGAGTGGCATCCATCAACATAAGGCGGTCATGAAATAGTACTATCTGCCTGACCCGGAGAAGAAGAGCAGGGTTTTTAAAGCTGGGTTCTCCACCTCCAGAGAGCTCGTAAGCAAGAGTAAGGCACTAAGGCCTGAAACAAAATACAATACGAGATCCTAAACTACAGAATATAAAAAGAGGTTACGTATATGGAAAAATAGAACGTAAACAATGAGTTATGGAGCTCAGAAAGCACCAGGTAACTGAGAGGGCAGTGGCATAAAGATTTAGAGGAGATGGCACATAAAAGATTCCAGCTTGGAAGTGTGGTAGGTTTATCAGGAAACTGACTGAAATTGTGATTATTCATGGAAGGTTGTCAAAATTTAGTTATTTTCTTTCTTTCCAGCAAGTAATAGAGATGGCCAACCCTGCAGGGGGCCCTTTTCCAAGTCCTCTGGAGGAAGGAATCTCTTTTGATATTTACTCAAAATTCATTGAGCCACCTCCAATGTTGGATAAAGAAATGCAGGTAAGGTTTCTTTTGTATTTTCATTGATGCAGCCTAGGAATTACATTCTTAGGGGTGGGAAGAAAAAAGCAGATGTTCTTCCATTATCTTTGCCTCTGAATTTTCCCAGACAGATGTAAATATTGATTTTAGCAATGATTCCCAAGTGTACCAGTTGATGGCAGTTCAGTGGTTTTAATTTCTTTAGTCTCATACTCCCTAATCTCTACCTTCGTTCTCCCAAAAGTTAACACCGCCTTGCCGCCATGACTTGATCTGTCATAAATCCCAATAAAAGTACTATATAGGGTAACATCAAATTAAAATCTCCTAGACTGACATCCTTCCTTGTATAAAATCTAGTAGAAATTTGAGGTTACCCATTAATCATTGAATGTTCCACAAATCACTTGAATGTTGTTTGCGTTCATTTTAGGGGTTGGATCAAGCACAAGGCCATGAGGAGTCCCAGCCAGAATCTGACATTTTGGAGATGGATCCTTTAGATGGCTTCACCATTGAGGATATAAAGTCTATACTGGCTCAAGTTACAGATGACATTTTCACAGATGTCCAGGTACCGAGTATTGATAGTTTAAGCACTTCATTATTGGGAATTAGTAAACCTCAGCTTTCTCATCTGCACACACAGCCAACGCTGTGCAAGCAAGAGTGATACTGCCGGTGGGGATGTTCAGTTTACCATGCCGACACTGTCATCTGAGGTTCAGTAAGGTCACCAAGTAGTTTTAGCAACAGTGTCTGATATGGTATGTGTTAATCAGTGTGCAAAGTCATTCAACATTGAAGTCCCCAAATTCAAAATGGTAAAGATCTTGTACCTTGTTACACTATCAACATTGCTTATATGAAGAGAATTGGTGTACATTTCTCTTCCTTTCTGCTTTGTTTTGTTTTGTATTCTGAATCAAACTCAAGACCTCACACTTCCCAGGCAGGCGCTGTGCCACTGAGCTACATCCCTGACCCTACATTTCTAAACAGTAAAACACTGAAGATTGAATGGACAATTTCAGCTAAGTTTTTCTCATCAAAATTTTTTTTTTAAAAAAAAGAGTATTTGAAATCCTTCTCAAATAGTTTATTCCTTTTCACATGTCACTAATAGTCAAACAATTTATGTCAATGGCAGTTTGAAAAGGTCCATGGCAACTGTGATCTCAATAGCAACAGGCAACAATCGATCACCTGGATCAGCTTTATGCAAAATTATTTCTTATTCTTTCCAAACAAACAAATATTTCTACCCTAGCACAAAGACGTATAGGAATTCATCTAATCTTCCAGGCCAAATGATTAAATAAGTGAATTGTGTTTTTAAGCAAATTTGCAATTTCTTAGAAATAGCCATAAATCAGTATGCCAACATAGCACGTATTTAAAACACTAGTGCATGTCAAAAGATTTAGTTGTTATCTGAATATAAGACAATATATTAAAAGCATTCTATATTAATAACTAAATTAGAGGAGCAAAAGATTATCTTGGCATAAGTACTCCTTCATACTTGTTTAATCATTGAATATTATTGCATTATTTACATGAACATTTAATGATTTGATGCCAACAAAATCAGCCAAAGTCCTCAGCTTAATAAGGGATGTTTAGTGTTTAGCAGCAAAAGTAGAAGAACACGTTTTACACAAAGCTTTATTGTTAACAACCCTGTGAATGTAATAACTGGTTACTGTGTGGAAGGGCAGAGTGCAGTTGAATTAAGCTGAGTTCAGAACATATCTCCTTTTTAGATTTGATAACATTTCATCTAAATATAGTTTATGTATAATCATGGCCCTGGGCTCCTTTGCAATCCTGCGGCTCTGAAATTATTGCCGAGGAACTACTCAGCAATAGAATTGTTTGCAGACCCAAAAAATTGAAAACATCTTTCCCAAGGTCATATTCCATGTAGTGAGCAGTATGCTTTTAACTAGTCACTAAATTTGTTAATGCTAGACTCTGCAGCATTTATACCTTTACTCTATAGTAGAAGGAATATGATTATTGTATGTGCACATTATCTTCCCATTGGCCTAACTCCATCTTTAAAGTTTGTTAGCTTGTTCACCTAAATGCAATTAGGCACCAAAAGAACTTGAACCAGAGGAGAGAAATACAGGACCTTTGATGCCACAATCATTTCCATATTAAGTGGATCTGTAGACATCAGCCTCAACCAGATTACTGCCAATTTTTCAATGAAATAGCAAGATGATGTGGATTTATATATTCTCAAATTGGCAAACTCTTTTACGTATTTTTTTTTCTTTCAATAGTCCATGTGAATAAGGAGGGCACATCCCCTGAGCAATTGAAAAATGATACTCACAAAGATTAAGTCATTTGTCTAGAGTTTCCAGGGTCAACAACTGATGAAAGCCCCTGAATGGGAGCTATGAACTGGGTTCTAGCTCTAATACCAGTGTGATCCACAAAAACCACATAACGTCTAATACCACCAGAAGACTACTTTGGATTTTAACATACTTGTGGGGTGATACTTTTTCAGTATTTACCCTTGTGTTTTGGTCAGATTCCAAGTTGGGTAATTACTCTCCACTTACCTAAAATTTCTCCTCCTGTTTCAGATGAGTAAGTTATTTTTTACTTCTAAAATCTGACTTCCCATGTTCCTGAATCTAAAAATGCCCACATCCTTTGTAAAGGCAGCTGCATGTCAGTGGTCATTATACATATGCCCTCTGAACAAATGTGCTATGCAAACATTTAGCGAACTATTATTTGTAAGATGGTTTACATTTCCCCATAGTTTTTTCTTCTTCTTCATTTAGAATTCACACCATTATTGCAGTTTTTGCAGGAAGAATCAGTGGAGAATTCATATTTTACGCATGTTTTTCAGAGTTTCTTCGCTAGTATGGTTACAAGAATATATCATCTCTATAATGCAGACATTTCTGAAAACATAGTGTGAATCCTAAAATTTTTTATGCTAATCTACTTATTTTCCAATTGACTCACTTTATAGTTTCAGAGATTTATTAAAAATGAAGTTATCTTGGCCTTCAGCTGTTAATTAAAATTACACTGAATAGAGCAAACATTTTAAGCCTATATAGTTTAGGTATTTTAATTTTAAAAATACATTCAAAATTAAATTATTTTGGCCCTGAGTTGTATAATAAAAATTACACCCAATGGAGCAAAATTTAATATAGTTAAAGAATTACGTTTCAGAGAAATAACACGAGCACTAAATTCTTGCATTAAATGTTGGCTCCTGGAATAAAAACAACGTGAAAACTTAAGAGGAAAATTTGCCATCTTGGGACTGTAGATATCTTTAGGTTAACTTTGAGTTTTAAAGGTTACAAAACTTGAAGGAGATCACCACAAGTTAGTGGTCAATGAAAAGCTACTGAACATAGGTTAAAGGTTTTACATTCTTTTCTAAAGAAAACAGAACCAGATCCAGCTCCGATGGTTGTACAATAGCTTTTCTAATCAGCAGTGTCTTCAGAGATAAGAAGTAGACACAGGCAGACCAATGATAGCATCTTCTGGTCCAGTCATGAAATCTTTTGATCAAGGCTCTCTTGGTTGTGCATAAACCAAGGTCTCCAGGTCTGATCCCCAAGACCTGGAGGTCTAAAAGGTTATTCTCATCGAGGTACAGCACTCTGTTAGATGCACTCTGCAGTCATGAACCTTTCCCCAAGGCCACACTTGTCTCAACAAATTCTGTTTCAGTGAAATACCAGGGAGGTTTCCAGGTGAATATGAAAGCCCTCGTGAGGTAGTGAAGTATAAGTTGTAGGTGACAGTCAGCTGGAAAGCACAGATTGCACAGTGAGCACTGAACATTCATTAAAGTGGAAAGATTGTTTGGGTAGAGCTATTCTTCCAACTCTTTGGAATCGTGACAAGATTATTTCTTCAACCCATTTCAACCCATACCAACAGATCACAATGAAATATGTAATTGGTGAAGTATATTATGAATTTAAAGCTAAGATATAAAATTAACCCAATTTAAACTCTCCCTAATTTATTTATTATTTCTTTTTTATTTTGTCTTTTTGAGACAAGATTTTGCTATGCAGTTCAGGCTGGCCTTGAACTTACTTTGTAGCGCAAGCTGGTCTCCAACTCACAATGATACTCCTGTCTTAGTCTCCCCAGTGCTGAGATTACAGGTGTGCACCACCACACCTGGCCATACTAATTTTTTATATAAGAGTCATTAAGTGACTTGCCCAAGACTCTGTAGCTACATAAGTCTTTCTACTCATAGGCCAGTGTTTCTTTTAAGTGTACCATTCAAGAGGGAGATAATCATCCTGAAAACAAAGTTCCATAGCAAGTTGGATGATCATTTTATCACTCCTTCCACCCTTCATTCAGCCATCTAGAAAGGAAAAGGTAGGAATAAAACCAAAAGCCAAAAATTGGTCCCGAGGCATTAAAGAAAATGAAATCAACAAACAAACAAACAAAAAACAAAACAACAAACAAACATTTGTATTCATGTGTATTTTGAACCCAGAATTGCTGGCACCAGTGTGATCTTGTGAGAAATACCAACCTTTCCTCTGCTGGTAAAACAAAATCTCATCAGAAAAGATAATTGAGGCAGACATTTCTAAACTGTTATAGTTGTACTCAAATAAATGAATTAATGAATGAATTAATGTGTACCTAAAACCACATTGATTTTTCACATTTCTTGTGTCTAAATTAAATAATAAATTTTCTCAAAAGGCAACTACCACAAAGACTTAAAATTATGTGATATGTATATTCTCAATTTATAATTTATTAATATATATGTGTACTATAATAGTGTAGACACTATTCTTCATAATCTCATAGGCATTTTTAAATCACCGCAAATATAATAACAATAACATCTTTTTTTTGCTACATCAGCCAACAAAGCAAACATTTCTCTGCATGTCGTTTTATTATCCCCTATAATAAAAGAAAGACATTTGCAGTGCTACTAATGTTCAGATAATGTGTAAGTATTTCTGGAATTGTGCAGGTAGCAATGTTAGTCCACAGAATATCCTGCCAGGGGCTAAATGCTATCACAGCTTCAGCAATCACTAAAACCTGTCAGCAATTGCTTACTTTTTTCTACCAAAAATATACTACAAAGTGGCACCATTCCAAGAGTTATAATGTATGATGAATATGCTTAATTATGAGAATTGTTCTAATTATGAGATTATCTGTGTTGTTATTTCACAACAGAAGCTTTCTGGGATCCTATTTAGAATGCCTTACGCAAAAGACAAAAACATCCATTGCAAAGGGGTGGAGGGGACAAACAACACAGCAGTAACTGAGCACAAAGCAGTTATTCTGATTTGGTGCTTATTGGTAAAGTCTGTCTGAAAATACAGATAAATTATCCTATCTTCTAACACATGGCTATTGAAAAATGGCTGTCCAAATACCACTTCCTGTTCATAGTAGACATGCTATACATTGGGAATGTGCAGAGAAATATGATAAAGTGTTATCACATCACTACAGGCTGAAACACGGCTGTGTCTGCAAAACAGGAAGGTGTGTGAGGGATAATGTCTGTCTTTAGGCACTATAGTATGTCAAAACCACAAAGACAATGTGCAGCGAAAGATAGCTCCATCATAACCACTTTTTTATGATTGTCTTCACAGAACAAGATAAACGAAAAGCTGCAAATACAGGAAGAGGCCTTTAATGCTCGAATAGAAAAATTGAAAAAAGCCTGAGGACTCGGTACAAGAAGAGAGATGCTAAACTTCACAGAAACAAACAAAACTAGCTGGAATAACAGATTCTCTAGAGCATTGGATCGTCTTCATTTCATTGTGAAAAGAAAAACGAGCCCCACTTTTTATTGTCATAAGTATTTTAAAAAGTATTAGCCCAATTTTGCCACCTCTGTACCGTAACAGCCTCTGAATTTACTGTACCACAGTAATGAAAATATTTGTATACAGGAGCTTGGAGAATTACATATAAAAATGCAATTATTTTTATGATAGTTCTTTGACGTTTTTACTAATAAAGATTACATCTTCACTGAGAATGAACTAGCTTTTTTAAATAACCAAAAACAAAGAAAAATAATAATAATAATTGTATCCATATTTACATAAATGAACTGTCACATTGCTGGAGCACTATGAAAAGATACTAGTACTACACTACTGAGAATAAAACTTGCTAAACAATGGCAATTCAAACACATATGCTGGAAGTTTTTTTAAACTTAAATCATTTGGTTTTCTTATTTAAATGTTACAGTGTGAAACCAATTTTCTGAAATTATATAATGCAGTTTGAAGCATTTTAATTTATTCTGCACTGTATTTGTTATTTCTAATCTTGTTACTCTCCCAGGAGAATACATGACCTATATAAAAAGAAATGATGTATAAATGGTTATTAAAGTCCAACCTATATATAGATTGTTCAAAATCTTAAATACAAATCAAACTCACAGAGTTCCTAAAATTAACCATTACGTTTCAGTGGAATGATTGAAGAATATCTCAAGTTTTTAAATACCCTGATGAAAATATAATTTTAAAACACAGTAGCCTTGCATGTGCTGACTGTCCCTAGTTAAACAGATTAGTTAATTACTGCCTAAGCCCTTTCAGAAGCTCCTAGACCTCAGCAGATTCTGGAATGGAGGCAGAAAATTGGCAGGAGGAGTCAGATCCCTCAAGAGTTTTCAAAATTGTGTAATACCTACTGCTGGATGGCATTTGGCTAATTATGGACTATACCCTTACCTTCTCTATCAGTATGGAAGGAACTTCTCAAAACATCCCCACTTGGAACATAGAGCTAACAGCTGCTGGTCATTTTCTGACTATACTAATCTGCAAATTAAGAGTAGTCCTTAAGATAAAATCTTGCTATTGTTCCTCTAGCTCTCAGGCTGGAGGAACAATACCTGGAGATGTGTTTCTTCCTTTAGCTGTCCTTTCTGAAAAAAGCATTAAGGGCTGGAGGAGATCATGTAGTAGACTCACAAATCTGGGTTCCCTCAGCAGTCTTTTCCCCAGGAAAAACAGTAAAACTGGGTAACCACAAACGGAATAAAGAAGATTCTAGAAATCACCAAGCACAGCTTCAAATGCAATCCTCGGCACAAAGTGGAACTGCACTTCTCATAAAAAGTGTTTATTGGAGCAAGGGTACCAGGAGCCTATCACCGAATCAGAAGTGGCATTACAATCCTTAAACACTGCCTAGTGACAATATAACACACATCCTGACAGCTGGAGCTAAGATTCTTCAAGACTGAAACAGGCTTTGCCACTGCCTAGTGTATGACCCTAGACAGGCCACATAACTCTTATTTATTCATTTATTAAGTGAGAATAGCACCTATTTTTGAGGTAATTAAGAGAATTCAATAAACTCATGCTAAGTGGATTTTCTTGTAAAATTTGATTTGCTTACATTTTAGGATGTACAAAATGTCACACTCAATTGCTGGAGCAGCCTCTCTGCCAGAATTCCCAGCTCCCCTGGCTCCCTCTTGGAACCTATGGGTGGGTGTGTGCTCCCCTTCTTTTTCATACAGCCCACAGTGACTAATCTGTCTCTCTACTGTCCTCGGTGTTTTATGTTGGACCAACCAGGCATCTTTGTGGCAGTTCAAACAATAATAGGATCTAATAACAGAAAGCAATCATGGTAGCAGTAACAAAACTTTTAATTCATATTCTTTGTGTTTTAAAATAAATGCTGATTTGAGAAAAGCATACAACTAGTTTGTAAAACAAAACAATTTAAACACAAACACTGTACACAATGAAAACAATAAAAAAAATCTTTCCCTAAGTATCCTCTTCCTTTCCCAACAGGCAGCTAGAGATTTACTTATTCAAACAATTGTATGGGTGGTGATTGATTGATAGATTGATACTGGGGATTGAACTCATGACCTCATGCTTGCCAGGTGCTATGCCACTCAGCTATACCCCTGGAGGTGGTGATTTATTAAAACACAATTTACATTGCTTCCATCAAATAATATATCTGAAAGACATTTTTCCATATCAATAAATTTTAATGACCATATAATATTTCATTTTTTTCAATTCCCATCATTTTTTTAACTAGATTTATTGATAATTTTTACTTTTTATACTATTTTGTTACTGCACTGCTACATTGCCATCTTGTGTGTACATTTTTGTAAATATGTTTAATATGTCCATAGCATGAAGTTACAGAGGAGGAATTTCTAGGTCAAATTGTATGCGCATTTTGAATATTGATAGAAACAAAGATATTGCCCCATTTTGCAAACCCACCGACAGTGCGTTTGTTTTTTCTCTTTTGTTAATATATTGGTACAATTTAGATATACATAATGATCACATTCTACATAGGGAGTTTATACCTGTGCATGATGTATCTTAGTTCCTCCTTTTTCCCATTCCCTTCCCTCTCTCTTCAACATCTATTTTTCTCCTTAGTTACAAAAGCTTTGTTTCCATTTTGTTCTTTCCTTCTCATTTTTTCTTTTCCCTTTCATTCCCACTCCATTTGAACAAGGGAACTGCCCCTCTCCTTTTGAACAATTTCTTACTTTTTCACATTATCAATTATACATTTTAGTTCTTGTTTACACACCCATTTAGTTCTTATTTCTCACATAACAGACACAATGTGATATTTACACACATGTGACCAATTTATTTCACTTAAGAGTATGATCTCAGTCTATCCATTTAGCTATAAATTTCTTAGGTTCATCTTTCTGGCAGAGTGGTATTCCACTGTATTAAAAAAAAAAACACTTCTATCCATTTGTCAGTTGATGGGCATTTGGGCTGTTTCCAAGACTTAGCAGTCTTAAACTGTGCAGCATACATTGCTGTTGTATGATGCTTTTAATTCTTTTGGGACAATATCAAGAATAGTGAGTCAAATGGAATCACTACTCTTAGTTTTTTGAGGAATTGCCACACTGATTTTTCACAGTGGTTGCACCAGTCTAAACTCCCACCAACAAGGCAGAAGAGTTCTTTTTTCCCCACTGTCCTATTAGCATTTGTTAGTGGTGATTTCTTTATAGCAATCTTTCTTTCTGGAGTGAGATGGAATCTCAGCATTGTTTTAATTTGTATCTCTCTAATGATCAGTGATGTTGAACAGTTTTTCTTATATTTATTTGCTTTTCGTACTGCTGCTGCTTCTGAAAAGTACCTACACATTTCAGATGCTCATCTTGGGGTTTGATCTTTAAATCTGAGGGTTTGTTTTTTTTTCAGTTTTTTACATGTTCCATATATTATTGTTTATCTCAAGAACAACTAGCTAAGATTTTTTCCTACTCGGTGGATTCACAGTGTATTATGAATGGCTCCCTCTACATTGTTACTAACAGCATATATTAGCCAATGCTTCTTCTTCTTCATTCTAATGGAAAATAATTTCATGTCATTGTTTCAGTTTTATCTTATTGTTTTACTGATGTGAATTATCGATTTTCATATCTTCATAAGCAGATACATTATATTTTATATAAATGTATATATTCATTTAATCCTAAGCAGTCATGAGACATTGACAGATATTACTAGCCTCATTTTACAGTCATGGAACTTAAAGCTTACAGAGATTATTAACAAGTTACACAGTTAACAACCAGTAGATCAGGGTTTCAAACTCAGACCTATTTTACAGATAATGAAACTGTAATAGAGAAATATTAAGTAATTTTCCCATGATTCTGCAATTACTAAGTGATAGAGTTAGGTTTTGAATCTGAGCCTATATGATTGTAAAATCTACATACTTAATATTTATCTTCATGTACCCATTTCAATTAGCATGATAGGGAACTGATTTTTTTTTCTTTTGTTTATGTCTTTAGCATAAAATTTTCTAAATTTTATGTAAGGAAGAATGTATAAGCCAGTTATATTCATTCATTCTTGTATTAAATATTCGTTGAACACCTCTTATGTGCCTGAGTATTGAGTGATAAGACAAAGAAACATAGCCTCTTCCCTAATAATCTGTTACAATTAACATTATCTGTGATAAAGATAGGCTTCGGGGAATTGTAGAGGCATAAAATAAATGAGCTTGGTTTTGCCTCACAGGTTAGAGAAAATTCTTATGAATATTCACATTTGGACTGAGATCTGAGAGCTAAGTGGAATGCAACTAGAAAGAGGAAGATGAAGGAAGCTTCCTTTCAGGGAGACAGAGAAGTACATGCAAAATCCCCCAAAACTAACAGGCTGAATGACCAGACACCGAACTCTTACAGGGGCATAGCCAACATTACAGATTTTTAGTTTTAACTTTAAAAAATATGAAATTGTTAGTAAATTTTAAATAGGAAGTGACATCAGATTAGTGTTTCTAAAGAGGACCTTTCAGTACCAAAATTTCTATCCACTATGGAAAAGTGAATATTCACTTATTAGCAACTTCTAAAAGTGGAATAAATACGGAAGCTTTGACTTTCTTACAGTCATGAAGTCTACCTATATAAGTGATCTTTGGCACAAGGCAAGCCTTTGAAACATCAGTTTAAAAGATAACGCTCACCTATCTCTGGGAAAGGAACAGTTTTTCCTCTCACTATATCCAGGAAGACAGTTCTTGCCTTTGCAGGAATAGTTTTAGGAAAAGTGTCTCCTCAACCCCATGATAACACTCAACAAGCAAGTACACTCATTATGTTATGCACAAGCTAGAGACTACCACTACTATGAGTCTTTGCAGGCACTATTGCATCTAATTATAACAGTGGAGTTATTTTTTCCAAAATCTGAACATAAAGCCCTGTTTCTGTCCTCCATTTGATTGGAACCATTCAACCATCCTGGTAGATAATAAGTTTGCATGTTCTTAGATTGCATTTCATTATGCTCCACTTCCCTTAGTGAATAAACGTGCAGTTTTTCCCAACAGTTGTAGAGGAGAAATTCTCCAGACATCTCAAATTTCAGTCTCAGGAAGACATTCCCTGACTGTATATCAAAGTCATTTTTTTCTGGATATTAATGTTTTAAGTAGAAGAAGTCAGACTCCTTCATGGCCCAA